TGGATTACAGGAAGTTAAACGAGGTGAGCATCGGGGACTCCTATCCCTTGCCTCAAATAACTGAAATATTAGACCAACTTGGTCATTCAAAGTATTTCACAACACTTGATTTAGCCTCAGGCTTTCATCAAATTAAGATGCATCCAAAGGACGCTCCTAAAACGGCATTTACTGTCCCTCAAGGACACTTCGAATATAACAGAATGCCATTTGGATTGAAGAACGCTCCTGCAACTTTTCAACGTTTAATGAATAGCGTTTTAACTGGACTACAAGGTAATCGTTGTTTTGTTTACCTTGATGACGTAGTTATTCATGCAGATAATCTTGAAAACCACAATCGAAAGTTAAAAGAAGTATTTGAAAAATTTTCCGTAAATAATTTAAAATTGCAGCCTGACAAATGTGAATTTTTAAAACGAGAAGTAATGTACTTAGGACATTTGATCACAGAAAATGGAGTAAAGCCAGATCCAGGCAAGGTATCAGCTATTGAAAATTATCCTATTCCTAAAAACGTAAAGGATATAAAAGGTTTCTTGGGATTAGCAGGGTATTATAGAAGATTTATACCAGATTTTAGTAATTTGTCACAACCTTTAACTAAATTATTAAAAAAGGATGTTCCTTTTATTTGGACAAGTCTTCAACAACATGCATTCGAAATCCTTAAGAAAAAACTCTGTGAATCTCCAATTTTAATATATCCAGATTTTAGCCAACCATTTAATCTTACTACAGATGCTAGTAATTATGCTATAGGAGGAGTTTTATCACAAGGACCAATTGGGCAAGATTTGTCTATTGCATATGCCAGTAGGACGTTGAACAAGGCAGAACAAAATTATTCAACCACTGAAAGAGAACTTCTTGCAATCATTTGGTGTGTTAAACATTTTCGTCCGTATTTATATGGTCGTAAATTTAATATGATCACGGATCATCAGCCGCTAACGTACCTATTTAATTCTAAAAATGATGGCGCTAGAATTTTCAGATGGCGACTATCACTCGAAGAGTATGAATATACCCCAATTTATAAACCAGGAAAATTAAATACTAATGCAGATGCGTTAAGTAGAATGCCTTCTGTTGTCGAAAATAAGATATTGGTGACAACCAGGTCGACAACAAGTGAAAATTATAAATCATTCCTAGAGGCAACACAAAAGTCAATTATAATAAATGATAAAATATGTGAGATTAACGATGAGCTAACAGCGAGACAAAGAAATATTTTTATACCCATCTCGTCTGATAAAAACATTAATGATAAAAATTTAAGAGAATTAGTTAGTGAATTTGACCATTTAAACAAGATAAACAATATAAAAGTAAACGAGTTTGTCGTATTTCAAGAAAATGAATTTAAATATTACTATGCTTGTACTAAACAAAACTATTGGGACAAATCAAGTTATGAAATTTATTTTAATCTCTTGAATAATATTAAAGAATATTTCGACGGTCCCTACGTATATTAACGTATCTGAAAACGGCAAATTTTACAGGAGAGCGGTTTGAAGGTTTAAACATGTGTAGCTCGCGTTCTATTTATCGTACATTGATGAAATTTGGTATAATAGTTTTATATGAGGTATATTTTATAAAACATGAAGAATTATCAAAAAAANTGTTTTTTTAACTGAGCCGTAACTGTTGGGTCCTCTGAAGGTTTTGCAAACAAAAACGGCAAATCACGGAACTGGTAGATACTGAAATGTACGTAGGGACCGTCGATTTGATAAAAGAAAATGAGAACGAATTACATTTCACTCGTCTTGGCGACAGATACGACCAACTACATTGGAAGAAATGTAGAATGATGCTAAGATTTATATTTAGGAACACAGATATCACTTTAAACGTATACAATAATACTTTGATCACTCCTTCGCCAAACGAAATTGAAGACATTTTGAAAGAAATGCATAGCAGCCTAATAGCAGGTCATTCAGGATTCCATAAAACTTACAAGAGAATTAAGAACAACTATAGATGGCAAAATATGAAAGCAGACATTAAAGATTTCATTTCACGCTGCGAATCATGCCAACAAAATAAACTTATACGTAAAAAACATCGAGAACCGATGATCATAACAACAACGGCAAGCGAAGCATTTGAACGAGTTAGCTTAGATGTAGTGGGACCTCTTCCATTAACTCTTAATGGAAATAAGTATATCCTAACCCTTCAAGACGACCTAACTAAATACTCGCAAGCTTACGCTTTGCCTGATCATACCGCTGAAACAATCGCCGATGTTTTTGTCAAAGCGTTTGTATGTAAATTTGGTATACCCAAAAGTATCTTAACCGATCAAGGCGCCGATTTTACTTCGAAACTCCTAAAACAAGTCTCGAAATTGTTTAAAATCAAACAGTTGACAACAACTGCATACCACCCGCAGACAAACGGTAGCCTGGAAAGGAGTCATGCTACTCTGGCAGAATATTTAAGACACTATATTCAGGTAGACCAAAGCGATTGGGATCGATGGATAGACTTCGCAATGTTTTCCTACAACACTGCTGTCCACACATCTACCAAATTTACACCGCACGAACTTCTTTTTGGAAACAAACCTTCAATACCATCATCTATGAATAAACAACCAGAGTTTAAATATTCATACGACGATTATATAGACGACTTAACTTTAAAACTAAGGAAATCAAGAGAGATAGCTAAGAATAATTTAATTTGTTCTAAATACAAAAATAAGGAGTATTACGATAAAAAATGTAAAGTAGAAACGTACAAAATTGGTGATAAGGTCTATTTAACGAACGAAAGTAACAAATTAGGAAGGTCGAAGAAATTGTCTCCACAATTTACTGGTCCCTACGAAATCGTACAAATAAACTCTCCAACTAACGTAACCATACAAATTAAAAGAAAAAAGATTAAGGTTCATATTAACCGTTTAAAATTAGCCAAATAATGAGGTAATTCTCTTGTTACAGATTTACCTTCGGGACGTTTAGCCGAGGTGAACCATGTAATATAACCTTTTTAAATAAAGGTGGAATTTATTTTGAACACATAGGAAAAGCAAATCACTTAGATAGCGAATGGAATCTAGTAACTTATCTTGACATTTCAAATTGGCATAAAAAATTAGGTCTTATCGAGAACACTTTATTCGAAACTAGGAATCTTTGTAATCATGATACATTTAACCAACTTTCCCTTTGTCAAACATCAATGTTAGTTTTAGAACAATTGTATCCTAACCTAAAGAACCAAGAAATTGTACTAAAAGAATTAATTGGTCATTCAGTTCCAACTCTAAAACGATCAAAACGTTCCGTTATCGATGGAGTAGGATCACTGTTCAAAATGCTCTTTGGAACATTGGACGTAGAAGACGCAAAACGATATGATAGCGCAATAAATAATTTAGATAAAAATGAACACGAATTTGTCAATTTATTAAAATCTCAATCACAAGTTGTGAAAACAACCATTCAAAACTTTAACAACACATTAACTGACCTTAGAAAAAATGAAGATATTTTTAATAAAAATTTAGAAATTTTAGCTAATTATACCAAAGATACAAATAATAAAATTTTTAATATTGAAATGAAACAAGATTTGGATGAACATTTATCGTTTTTAACTCTAGTTACCACCGAGGTAAATAACGAAATATCTATGGTTATAAACGCAATTTTATTTGCTAAAAATAATAATTTACATCCAATAATAATCACTCCAGAACAATATATTATTGAATTGAAAAAGACTATTTCGTATATTCCGACTCATACACAATATCCATTAGAATTAAACGTGGATAATGCTTCAGAAATGCTGTCATTAGTTAACATTGTTTCATATTATATGAATGAAAAAATTGTTTTTGTAATNGCGGCACCAGTAATTAAGACTCCATTAATTATTCAACAATCATACGATGTATATAATTTAGTTCCTGTACCAATTTTAAATAAAAATAATACTTATGTTTTCATATTACCATCAGAACGATATTTTCTGATATCTCAAAATAAAATACATTATACAACATTGGAAAATATTGATAAATGTAAAAAGATGTTAAATAATAATTATATCTGTCAACTAGAAAAACTATTATATTCTGTACATGCTAAGGATAACTGTGAAATGACATTATTATTAGGCATAGAAAACCAAATACCTACATCATGTGATACAAGAATTAGTTTAATTAAAAAGGAACAATGGTATCGACTTCATAATGAAAATAACTGGTTATTTGTAATACCAAATAAAGTAATCACAACAATTTCCTGTAAAAATGAAGAACCTCGAGACATTGAATTAAAATCAACAGGTGTAATAAATCTAAAAAAGAATTGTAAATTATACTCACCCAACATCATATTACATTCGACAGGTCAAGATTTAGTATCTAAATATGTGTCAATTCTCCCGAATTTTGATATAATTAACGACAACTGTTGTAATAAAATGAAAAATCATACTATAGAAGACAAACTAGATTTCGTACCGCTTAATAAATACAGTATGAATTATGATGATTTAAATATAGCAAGTCATAAGATAGACAAAATTAATGACATATTGGAAGAACTCGGTAATGACAACATATTTAATAAGGTTAAAAATAATACATATTTTGTGTTTATGTTTATGTCTATAGTTAAGTTTATTGCATTTTATATTATATATAGATTAGGGAAATATCTGTTAAAAAGAAAGTTTCTGTGTACACCACAAAGCAGACTGTTAGCGTTAGAAGATACAAGAGGATGCTATGGTAGAATTACCAATTGTATAACGCTAAATTTGAATAGGACTACCAATACTGATAACACAGACGTAGAGCTAGAAGAGATCGGAGAATCTCGTCAAGAACGCACTCCTATTAGGCGTTCAGCAAGAATTGCTCAGATTAAAACTAAATAATATTGTAATTTTTGTAAAGAATTGTATTCTTTTCTGTATAACATTATANTTCGATTTAGCTTTTGACAATTGTGTAACGGACCTACACTCACATCCTTTGTTCTTTTTCCATGCTTACTAATATTTTGTTTGTAGTTCGCATCCATTAATAAGTAATTGTTTCTTTGTAGTTCACATTCATTAGTAAGTAATTGTTTGTTTGTAGTTCACATTCATTAGTATACCAACAGATCATTAGCTAATACTTTATTTGTTAATCATATGTGACTATTAGCTAATTGTAATGATAAGAATGTATCAAGGGTCGTGGTGCTATCAACCATTTCTCCAATATAAAATAGCTACCACCGCTCTTCGGATCAGTTGAAGCTGACCTCACATACTGTGAAGTACTGTAGCATAAGGTTGTAATTGTTTGTAACCGTTAAATACAAAATAGTAAATCAAGTTCGCTCCAGATTGTGTTTTGATCAAGTGTCCCGCAACACCAACCAACAAACGCCACCGCTCGGGCCATTACAAACTGGTGTCAGAAGTGTGGGATTGATCACATAATTCCTTCGCACATCGTCAACCGCGTGAGTTCGCCTACCGCGTAGACTTCATCCGAAGACACACAAGAAACTGTACGAGATATCTATCGAAGTGCTAAAAACCTTCGATTCTCTACAAGTTCGAGAGCAACATCGAAGAGGCCAACGAGTCTGAACGAGACGTATCTTCGACGGTCTTAGTGAAACCGTTTACGCCGTTCAAACCACCGCCACATCGAGAACTTCAAGAAATGTCAACGGTATACCTGCAAACAATCTTCCTTCTACTGTGAGTACACCGCCATAAACATCGTTATAAAGGATTTTTCCTGTACAACGAGATCAAACTTGCCAATCAAGATTATATACTTATAAACTTAGAACTCTATTATAGATTCTAGTGTACTTGTATTAATCTCAATATCAATTTTAATTGTATCATAAACATGTCTTTAAATGCAAATGTATCAACATCATCTAATACAAACACCTTCATTTCATTAGAAATGGCTGAAAGAATGTTAACTAAATTTGATGGCAATAAGGCGCGTATTCACGAATTTTTAGACAATTGTGACACTGTCAATAATTTAATTAATCATAACTTAAAGAGTATATTACTGCAGATAATTATAACAAAAATTACTGACAATGCTAGGTCAATGATAAGAAACCGCGAATTCCAAATTTGGGATGATTTAAAAAATTATTTATTAGACACATATACCGAAAAACGAACTATCGGACAATGGCAATTAGAGTTGAGCAGTTGTAAACAAGACTACAACGAAAACGTTTTAGCATACGCTAATAAAGTCGAGAATTGTTATGTCAAATTAATAAATTCATTAGAATCCAATCAATCTCCAGCAGCTCGTCAAGCTTGCGTGGAATTACTAAAGTCACAAGCCTTAAGCGTTTTTATTACAGGTCTAAATAAAGATTTGAACTTAATACTAAAAGCACTGCAACCAAAAACATTAGAAGATGCTATTTCAATGGCAGTTATCGAAGAGCAACAGCTCAAAAGTAAAAACGAAATCTCTAAATTTCAAAATATTAATGCTACTAATACTAAACATTGCTACAAATGCAATAAGCCAGGTCACACAGTCGTGAACTGTCGAGTGCGTACGTTTTCGGGACCCAAACAGAACACTAAATTCTGTAATTACTGTAAGAAGAAGGGTCATATTAAAGACGAATGTTACTTTTTAAAAAATAAAAACAATCCCAATAATTTTAATAAATCTAATAACAACCGCTTTACAAAAGATAGTGTCAACTCAAACCAAAAAAACTAGTTAAACCCAATGGCACGAGCCAACCAAAGGGTAACAGTTTAATAGAAGGGCTCATTTCTGCCATAAGTAATTGCTACTATGTAGGGCATGTAATATCGGAAGGTTTTCAATTCCGATATTGGTTTCCGATATTAGATCTCAATATCGGAATTCCGATATTAATATCGGAATTGAGTTTGTGTTATAAATTTTAAATATTTGGTTATATTCGTATAATTTCTCGATTGTATACAGTAAAATAATGATTTTTTGTGTGTTAAGGGTAATCATTGGATAATGGGCCAATTATGGAAATGGACTAGCAAAGAATTTAAGTGTTTTTGTATAACAGGTATCAAACAAACTTTTACTCCTTCAACCAATACTGGCGGAACGATTTGTAGAGTCATTCAAGTCACGTGTTACAAAAATATTAGACAGTGGTAAAAAACTTGAATAATATGCTTGTAATTTGTTCCTTTTTGATTATCGATGTACAAGTCACAAAACCACGGGGCGATATCATCATCATCATTTCAACCATATGACGTCCACTGCTGAACATAGGCCTCCCCCAATAATTTCCACAATGGCCGGTTTATTTATTTATTTATTTAAACTTTTATGCCAAAATAAATTTGAACATAAGGCAAACTTAATGCACTAAAGCATTCTCGACCAGTTTACCTTTGGGTTGAGCAGAAAAGAAATTTGTTTGGCGGTACTTCTAGTGCAGGAAAGAAAAACAAAAACAAATATGCTACATACATAAATAATATATAAAATTTATAATAAATAAATACATACATAAAATAGATGATTGAGTTGATGGCGGCCTGCATCCAGCGCCTTCCTGCTACCTTTATGAGGCTTTCCGGTACGTGGCCTCCACTCCAGAACCTTGCTGCCCCATCGGCCGTCAGTTTTGCTAACTAGGGCAGAATCGCTGGAAGACCTCGGCACAATGCTCGAAGACCTAATCGAGTCTCCCAACAGGTAGGCCTTGGACATGGACAAAACGAAGCTTATGACCATGTTCCGCCCTACCTATTTTCGGTTGGGAACCTGATTTTCGAAATTGTTGACAAGTATGTCAACCTCGGATCAACGATTCAGCTAATTAGATTCAATTTCGAGAAAGCGGTAAATCGTCAAATCTACACGGCTGGGCCGCGTTCGGGAAACTACACAACATCTTTTCGTCCAAAATACCTCAGTGCTTAGGCCTCAGCCTCGAACTTAGCGGGCAGCGGCGCGGGAGCGGCGGCGGGGCGGGAGCGGCAGGATCTTATGCGTAAAATCAAATAGACCGGTTATCGAACACAGCGGCGCGGCAGCNTCCAGAACCAATAAAATAACTGAAAGTCAGAAACTTTCAGTTATTTTATTGTCTCTATTGTTAACTATCTCAGTGGTTGAGTACACGTATAATAGCTGTGAGGTAGTTGATTTAAAGCCAAGGTATATCAGTTTTTAGGTAATGACTTAGTGCATCTAAAAATGTAAAACTTTCTAGTTTTTTGTAACATTGAAAAATCTAAAAAGAAGCATAATTTTTTTTACCTAGTGTTTCTAAGAAAAGACAATGCCGGAAATTGGCGTCTTTTTTTTTTCGAGCGGCCATCGACCAAACCTTGTTTTTTGATTACAAAATAGTGTAATAAACCAAACTTACTATCGCATGTATACCTCTAAACTCAGTCTAAACTGAGTTACGAGCATTAGAAGTTTGATGATTTTCATACTAGATTTGCTGTTTGCGCGCAAGTTTTGTAAGAAATTGCAACAAAATAATGACATTGTATGTGTAAACAAACAATACCATCCATTAAAGGCTCCAGACATCAGTATGTAGCAGAATCAGCGCAATATTTTGTTGCAATTTCTTACAAAACTTGCGCGCAAAAAGCAAATCTAGTATGAAAATCATCAAACTTCTAATGTTCGTAACTCAGTTCAGACTGAGTTTAGAGGTATACATGCCATAGTAAGTTTGGTTTATTACACTATTTTGTAATCAAAAAACAATGTTTGGTCGATGGCCGCGCGAAAAAAAAAAGACGCCAGCTTCCATACAAAATCTGGCATTGCCATTTAAATGGAAGCTTTTGATGACAACGTATTGCTTACTTTTTCAGCTGTCGAACGAATCACTTTTATACTCATAGGTCCTGTACATCGGTAGATTTGGTAAATAAATGAATCCATCCGCATTCAGAAACTAAAAAAATTAAAATAGCTGTAATTTTTTAATACTGGATTTGTCGATTAAATTCATCATATTACTGCGCCCTAACGGGTCGGACACTGGTGACCAGACACACTGTACAATTATTATAATTTTAGCCTATCTCGTGAGCTAGGTGTCAATAATTAGGGTGATTTACTAACTAACCAGACGCATACGAACAACAGCAGTGAGATTCAAACAAGTTTGATCCATGATGCCGCACGACTATTGTGTGAGCCCACCCGTAACTCAAGCTTATTTAGCTTAACACAAGGGGCTGGANAATGTAGTGCCAGCACTTTTGCAGAGTTTATTTTAATATTAGCAAACGCAGACACAGTATTTTCAATTCAATTAAATAGTAAGTTATTGGCTACTTATTCTGGTTATTGGCACAGCCTTCGGCACAATATCATTATTCTCATTCTTCAGCACTAATAGCTTTAAACGATTTTAAACTTTATACTGTAAAGGCAAAATTCAAAATCCATTAAACGCTAGCAATTCTATAAATTATTGAATTGAATCAAATCTGTGTGATGAGTAGGTAAATATTATGAAAAAGAGAAAAATTTAAGCTTCAAATTGATCAATAGAATTAAATTTTATAATTAAGAATTTTAATTTGAATTGGTATTAAATGTCTGCGACAATATTACAATATACATATTTTTAAGTTTCGTAACTCGACGAATTACTTTCAATTTATTAGAAACTAGCTGACCCGGCGAACTTCGTACCGCCTTAGCGTATCTCTACGTTCTCTTATAACGGAATTCTCTATTTTCTTAATATTTTTTTCCGTAAGAACCATCCTTGGACTTCCACAAACATTTAAAAAAAAAGAATTATCGAAATCGGTTCAGCCGTTCACACGTGATGCCGTGACAACGCGAAACGGGTTTCATTTTTATATATATAGATTTTTATTTCTTATTTGATCACTTTGTGGGTTTTATGCCTCATAGCCTCTTAGATTTCTGCTCAACCGATTTTGAAAATCACATTGGCAAAGCTGACAAAACAAATATTTTTACCGATAACAATTAGTGATAACCAACAAGCGAAGCTCGAGTAATCACAGCTTGTCTTATGGCACCACTAAACCAGATCCGTTCAGAAATTTATCGCCAGCGTCGCAATAAACGCTCCAGAGACGTCCCTCGTAATTGCTACACATTACCCGCATTTTATTGTCACTACAACGCACGATCGAGCTCGATATTGATGTTTGATGTGCTGTTTAATGAATATTTTCCGATTCCATTCGAATTTGTCAAGAAAAATATTTGAATGCTCTTGTTATTGGCTTTTCTCTCTTTTCTTTTCTCTTAAAGCTGGGTTGCACCATGTTACTTTAACTTTAGAAAACGTCAAAAATCTGGCAAACTCCATACAAGAAACACCGGTCATCGTTATAGTTAAGGTTAAAGTTAGGTAGTGCAACCTAGCCTAAGTTTATGAAACACTCATAAAACTCATTTATTTATGCAAAAAGGCTTTTAAAAAGCACTATTACACGTCCTAGTATTAACCCTACGTGTCAATTGAAACTAGCTGTTTTAAGAATAAGAAACGAACAGAGAACCCGTTAGTAAATAGAGTATATCAAATCAAATAGACCTGTGGTCTCGCTTCAAAACTTTTTCGCATACGTTCTTTTTTTTTTCTTGAATGATACAACGTAACTGAATTAAGATGCCACAGTGCTAATTTTGAAGTTCAGTCGTCCGTAGTTTCTAAAATATACCATTTACACTGTGAAAGGGATGAGAAAAGTTAAATTAAAAGTCCGAAGTGCAATTTGTGAAATCGTTCCCCCGCTCATAGCAGAGTAAATACAAATTTTCTATGCTCATAGTCGCTGATAGCAATAACTGCAGTGCAGTGCCACTGTGCACTGCGCCGAAATGCACTTAGCGCTAATTGGTCAACCACCGCTAAGTGGTGTCATGACAGCGGGGCTTTAGTTGCTCGACTTGCTGTTGTTACATTAGATATTTGTGTGACATTTATGTTGATAGCTGAACAGTTTACAGCGTGGAAGTTTGCTCGATGAAGATATTTCAAAATCCCTCTATTTTGTCTTAGTAAAGACTACTTCTTCTAATAGAAATGTTGTAAATAGGTATTAATTTAATTGTACACGTTAGTTGTTATCATTATTAATTACAGGAAGCCACTGGATTCAGGCTCATACGGCTAATCTTTACCTAAATCATTGTGTAGCTGTGAAAAATGATGATAATGAGTTGTTATGATAACCTATAATGTAAGAAAATCTTACATTTACTATGTCAATACCCTTTGTTAGTGTAGATAAAACAAAAAAAATCTACACTAAAGAAATTCCACCATCCAAAATATCACTTTGAAGTCCGATGACGCGACACTCTTTTCATAATTGGACAATACAGAGTCAGAATTTGAATTTTTTATCATTTCAATTACAGAAATCATTTTTATTCCGATTCCTTTGAAAACCAAACCCGCGGTTAACGAACTAAAAAGGCTCAAAGCAGAGGGAAAATCTCTTCGCCGAGAATAAGTAACTTGTATTTGATATCTGGCACAAAAATTGACTTTCAAAAACTGGAATTTGCATTGAAAAAAGATTGGATCTTCGTTTCTGCCTGATGTTTGTACATTTGCATGATGCTTAAATTAAGTGTACGGTGGGCTGCTACGAGTAATAGGTGCTTAATAAGCTGCTACACTTTTGTGAATTAGGTATATTTTAATGATTTACATTGAAACAGAAGGCAAAGATTCCATAAGGCATTCTCTACGTTATCATTCTTGCCAACCAATTTTAAAAATTTCTAAGGACATGCCTAAGAACGTCGTAAACTAGCGAGGAAATATA